TGAGTGGGCGTCGCTAACGCTGACGCTGACAGTGGGCGTCGGCCTTCAGTAGGTGCCGATGGAAAGCCAGCAGACTAAGTGCCGACGCACGCACGCACGCGCGCGTGGTAAAAACTACAGCCGCGTAAATATTTAGGTCGAGTTGGTGGGCACTGAGCCGGATCGAAAAGCCGGTTAATAGCTGAGCACTACTGCGGCGGGGGAAGGGGGGGGGGTTGGAATCCATCCACAGAATCGGTCTCACAAGACAAGATAAACCCTCTAATCTCCTACATCAACAGATACAACCAGATGCCTGCAGATAAGGAGCGTGTGATTACGCGAGGCAAGTGCTATCTTGCTGCGGATGAGGAAGCTGCAGATGAATCACGAAGCCATACCTTGTCGTTGATGATGCAGGCTAGGTCCTCGCCGGTCGGTGAGCCCAGCACGCCGAGAATGTGATTGAGCTGGTCGAGATCTGGTCAGTGGCGCGCCGTGTCAGGAGACGTAACATTCAGCTGTGCTGCGTCACGTACGCACGTACGCACGCACACACATACACTCGTACACGCACACGCACGCTTGCGCACACACATGCACGCACACACGCATGCACAGACAGACATACACGTGTACACGCACACACACACGCACAGACAGACAGACATACACGCGTACACACACACACACATGCACGCACGCACACAGAGACAGACATACATACGTACATGCACGCACGCACAGACAGACATGCAGGCACGCACTCACAGATAGACATGCAGGCACGCACGTACGCACGCACAGACAGACAAACATGCATGCACGCATGCAGGCACGCTCAGACAGACATACACGCGCATGCACACGCACAGACAAGCATACACGCATACACGCACACACGCACGCACGCACAGACAGACATACATGCATGGCTGCATGCACGCACGCAGGCACATGTCATGCACAGATAAACATGCAGGCACACATGCGCAGACAGACATACACGAGTACACGCACGCACACACGCACATACAAACATGCATGCACGCACGCAGACACACATGCACAGATAGACATGCAGGCACACATGCACAGACAGACATACACGTGTACACGCAAGGGCGTCGGAACTGCCGCGGCAGCCGCGGCGACCGCCGCGGCACTTTTTTCAGGCCATAAATTTTCCGTAACCAAAATCTTTCAATAATTTATACCGTCTTTTGGCCGGTACATATATCATCAGGAGTAAGATAATATAGGATCCTATATTATCTTACTCCTGAT